GTCTTTTTGAGACAGGGTCTCCCTGTGAGTTCAGGCTGGCCTTGAGTTTACTTTGTAGCCCAGGTTGGTCTCGAACTCGCAAGGATCCTCCTGCCTCAGCCTCCCGAGTGCTGGGATTACAGGCGTGCGCCACCACTCCCAGCAAGGGTTTGGGTCTAGGAGAATGAAAGGAGGCTCGCTCAAACCCCAACCTTGCACCTCCAGGAGCCGCCGGACCCAAAGGACTGGAGCTTGCAGGATACCGACGCCTTCGTGCTAGTCTACGACATCTGCAGCCCGGACAGTTTTGATTACGTGAAGGCCTTGAGGCAGCGCATAGCGGAGACCAGGTGGGGGCGCGTCAGGTGGTGATGGTGGGGAATTGAAGGTGGTCTGGGCGGGCCTTTGCCGGATAGGAGCGAGTAGATTCTCCCTCTGTCGTGGGCGGGTTTTGGATCAGGCCTTTCTTTGTTCATGGGAAGGTCTCCAATTGTGTGAAATCTTTGGCCCACGAGGGTAGCGGCTGATATTTACTCGGGGGAGGAGTTGTGTCTGGCTGTAGGAAATGCACCTGTGTGCACATTCATGGGGGAAGGATTCTCCGGCCCTCGGGTCCGGGTCCCCAGCACCTGTCTCTCACCCTACCGGGCCCCCAGGCCGGCGGGCGCACCCGAGGCTCCTATCCTCGTGGTAGGCAACAAGCGAGACCGGCAGCGGCTGCGCTTCGGACCTCGGCGAGCACTGGCCACCCTGGTGCGCAGGGGCTGGCGCTGTGGCTACCTCGAGTGCTCGGCCAAGTACAACTGGCACGTGCTTCGTCTCTTCCGCGAGCTTCTGCGCTGCGCTCTGGTGCGCGCACGCCCTGCGCACCCGGCCTTGCGCCTGCAGGGGGCGCTGCACCCAGCGCGCTGCAGCCTCATGTGACCGGATTGGACGAGACTGCTGAGCTTCACCCGGATTGGTCAAACCAATTCCTCCCTCACTGAATAAGGACCGCTTCCACCCAGTCTCCTGGGCGACAGGCCTCTCTTTGAACTTCACTGAACATAACCCAGCCCCACCCCCCAATGGACAAAAGAGAACACCATTCTGGGACCTCATTAGGTCACAGTCCCACTGGATGGAAGGGGCTTGGCTATGAATCCAATTGGAAGCACTCAGACTGCCTCTGGCACTTCACTGGACACACACTCTAAGCCACGCTTCTTGCGAGGTAATAAACAACTTAAGTGCACTTGGGATTTCTGTTCTGGGATGGGCAGGACAGCCTTAACCGACAGCCTTAACCCTAAGGGTCAGCGCTGCCAGACTTGGGCCCCGGTAGTTAATAACTCCAGAAGCCCAACTTGTAGTGGGATGGTAAAAAGAGTATGTAACGGACCCTAGGCCTAGTCCCCAAGAAACAGACAGGTGGCTGGAGCAAAACTTTACTGTCAGAGGCTTTGCTGGACCACAGGTCCTCAGGACACCGGGCTTGTCCGGCCTCCTCTAAGGCATTCAATAATATTAGTAATTAAATAGCAATGCTCGTTCCCCAACCGGAATGTACAACAGAGGTCCCATTGTGCCATGTGGTCCCGAGGGGTCTGGTCCCATGAGGTCTGGTTCTCCAGAGTGGAGGGTGCTCCCTGATGCAGAGGGTAGGTTAAGGCCACAAAGGAAAGGGGATCTGGCAACAGCTAGGCTGGTCCGTCACATTCAGGAATCTGGCTTTGCCCTTGAGGTGACCGAGTGCAGAGCATGCCAGGCCCCGAGCTGTGTGGGTTCAGATGGGCGGCGGGGGCCTCGCGGTGTGGGGATGCGTGAGGGTTTACCATCTGGTTGTGTGTCCATCCGACCCCGTGCCCAGGTCTGTCGGGGTTCTGGGCCAGTCAGAGTGTTCCCAGGTGCATCTAGTGACACCCCCATGCCGAGACAGGGGCTGCCTTCATCGGAAGAGCTGGACAGGGCCTGGCTGCGGGGCCCAGGCAGCCCATTGGCTGTCCGGCCAGAGTCCCCAGGTTGGCCACACTTGCCACCCAGGACGCTGAGGGAAGATGAGGAGGAACTGGAGGAACAGTAGGCTGAGTCAGGAGCTGGAGGATCTGGAGCTCGAGCCAGGTCAGGGGCTGGTCCAGGGGTTTGGCTAGCAGCGGCCTCAAGGGCGCGGGCATTGGCCAGGAACTCTTCTTCCAGGCGACGGAACAGCTGCTGCTCTTGGTGTGGGTCAAGCTGCAGGGGTGTGCGGAACACGCTGGCTGGTGTGGCCCCCAACTCTGGCTCGGGGCTGGAGATCCGGGGAGGCCGCCCTGCTGCAGGGCTGCGGGCTCGGGGAGCCTGGGGGGTGCTCCTGCCCGAGCCCCCACCGCCCCTTCCCCGGGGCATCCACGAGTGTTGCCCGTCTCGGTCCCTTCGCACCAGCAGTACGGCCTGCTCCTCACGGCCCTGGCTGCGGGCCCGCCGGGTGGGGCTGGGGGCAGACAGCTGGGCTCCTCGGCCGCTGTGAGTCGCACGGGGCCGGCCCCGATCCAGCCGGTCTCTGGACTGGCTGCGCGGGGCAGGTGGCCGTCTTGGGGAGGCCGGGGTGCCCGTGGTCAGCCGCCGGCTGGGCCGCTCCCTCCGGGTGCCTGTGTCATCACTGCGGGCACCAAGGGGCCCGCTCTGCGCTGAGGAGGCTGAGGAGTCACTGTCACCGGAGTAGCGGCGGGAGCGGGGAAGAGGGGGCAGCTGATCCCGGGGCCTGGGGCAGGGAACAAGAGCGGGGGGCATCTTTGGAGGCAGAAGGGACAGGGAGAGGACCGGGAGAGCTGGGAGTTCCGGGACGGAGGGCAGTGCTGGTGGGAGTGGCAAGGCGTCCAGTTAACCCTGGGGACTTCCAGGGAGAAGTGAGGCTTGGCCACGCGGGGCCCCGAAGGCAGCAGCACAAACCTGGTACACTGGGCTCTCAGCATTTCCTCCCCAGGCCTCTGGTCTCCCCGGGCGCCGAGAAGGAAGCTGGGGGTTGGACTGGCCGCCGCCCAAGCCCCAGGGCCCGCCCCAGCTGTTGTTGGTTTGGTGGGTTGCCATGGAGATGGGAAGCCAGGCCCACCCCCACCCACAGGAACTTTTCCCAGGGCGTGAGTCACTCTGGAGCACCGGCAGCTCGTCATCTGAGCCAATCTGACTCCACCCCCACCCTCTGGGCGGCTCGCCCCAGTCCTGCACCTCACCTGAGCGGGGTCTCAGACCCCTCCTTTGTGCTTCGTAAACTAATGGGAGTCACTTCCGGCCGAGAGCCCCGGCGCTCACTTCCTGGCACGGGGCTACCAGGGCGGGGGCTGGGGGCAGGCGATACCCGCTGCGGGGAGAAGGTTCTTGCCCTTGGCTGGGACGGGCGGTGGGCTGTGGCAGGACAGGCAGGATGTGAGTGAGGGACAGCGCCAGGGAGAGGGGCCCCTGCCTGTCCACCCAGCCCCGCACTGACCAGTGGAGGAGCAGCGGCAAGGGTCATGCTTGTCCAGGTAGTGCTCCAGCGTGTCCCAGCCGCCACCCACGCGCACCATCACGTGGCTCCTCAGCACCTGTGGGAGCCAATGTGGTCACGTCACAATTGTTTCCCGCGGGCCTGGCAACCCACCCTCTTGGCGGCTGCTGGCTGGGGCAGCCCTTGCCTCTCACCCGCACGAAGATGAGCAGGCTGGAATCTCCCACTCGGTACTTCCCCTCCGAGACCTTGATCATGGGGAACTGGTCTGGGCAGGTGCAGCGGCCCAGGATCTCCCTCACCTGAGGCCAGAAAGGAGACGCTGTTGGTCAGAGGTCAGTCCTTCCTGCTGGGCTTAACAACCCAGTCAGTAGCTCCAGGGTCAGGAGGAAGTAAGTCTTTCCGGGGGGGAAAGGGGGGGTGGGGACGTGGGTGAGGTTCCACGCGGGACCTTTCACTAGCTCCCTTTCCGGCCCCATCTTGTAGCCCCTAAGCCCCGGGGAGCCCTGAAGCTAGTCCTCACGCCCCTTGTCACTCTGGGAGGAGACAGGTCACGGGACAAGGGTGCAGGGGGCTCCGTGGCCCCGGCTGAGCACTGATCTGGGAGGAGTACGTAGGCACAGTGGGACGCACATGTACACACCAGCACTTCACACAGGCCATCTGTCTGGTGAGCAAACTGCACACGTTACCCTGGGCCTGGAGCTGCCAGGCTGGCTCTGTGGGAGGCCCTGCCCGCCTCCTTGCCCACAGCGGCGCCAGAGGAAATGAGCAGGTGGAGCCTTGGGTGACCCAGGCCCAGACCCAGGCTGGGGGTGGGGTGCCTGCCTCTGCCTACAAGCTATCCAGCTGCCCGCCTCCCGGGCAGGCACATCTTAGTCTGATAAGAAAGAAACTTTTGCCTCAGCTTCAGGGGAGGAAGGGACACCTAGGTCCTGGGGCAGTGGGAGGGAGCTGCGGGCCTGGCTTGGCACCTCCGATGCTCCGGGCAGGACTCTTGCAGCTCCGTCAGGGCTTTCTGCTCCCACCAGCAGCAGCAACCGGGCAAAGCTTCCCAGAAGTGTGCCGGAACCTGTGGCGCTCTCAGGCACTCTGAGTGCCTACTGTGTGCCAGGCACCTTGACCAGGCCTTTCACACCCTGTCTTAGCCATGTGCAACACCCTGTGAGCTCAGGGGTTGTGGATGCATCTGTCCAGCACCTGACTGCAGGGAGGACACAGTGGAGATGCCCAAGTGAAGTGGCCCCCTCAGATGGACTGCACAACACTTAGGTGGTATACGTGTGGCACATGAAAGGACAAACGGTGCTGCACACGAGCCAGGATTCTGTCCCAGGACCAGATGGGCTGGCTACGTGACCTCAACCTCTCCTGGCCTACCTGTTTCCTTGGGGCCAGGTATACACTTGGCACTCAACATGTGCATCCTTCCTGTGGTACACCCTCCAGATACTGTACCAGGGTGGGCCGCAGGAGCTTCAGAGGTAAGTTATGGGCACTGGTTCTCTCTCTTTTTTTCTTTTTGGTACTGGAAATTGAACTCAGGACCTTGCGCTTGCCAGGCAGGCGCTTATGCCGCTGAGCTATATCCCCGGCCCCTGGGCACTGGTTCTGCCGCTTGGTCCCGGGGACCAAGTGTTGGGGAAGCAAGCAGGAGCAGGAGCCTCCCAGCGTGAGCATCAGAGGACTCACCAGCTCATCAAGGTTGCGCAGGTCGCTGGGTGTCATTCGGGGTCCGCGGGCAGGAGCCCCCGGCGCAGCGGTGGTTTCTGTGCCCTCCTCCGTGGCACTAGGGACATTGGGAGCTGGGGGTGCAGCATGGAGCTCCTGCTCAATCTCCTGCTCAAACTGCACGAGGCGGGGGGCGAGCAGGCCCAGGCGGGCCCCGCGTCGCGCCACCTCTAGCAGGCACAGCACCACGCTCTTCTCGTTCTTGCGCAGCACGAGGTCCTCGGTCTCAAACATGAGCACCTCGGGCACGCCCAGCTCTGTGCGGCACCAGCCGATGAAGGTGGCTACGTTGTCCCGGGCCATGAAGGAGCCAGGTGCCACGCTGTGTGCCTGGAAGGCCACACCTCGGGTCGGGCGGGCGGCAGCCAAAGCGCGGGCAGCGTCAGTGACAGCGTTGGCATGCTGGCACAGGGCTGTGCCTGTGGCCAGCCCTGTCAGGAAGCCGTCACCACCGCCGGGCAGACCCAGGCCATACAAGGCGTTGAGCCACTCGGCCAGGTCTTCCTTCATGGCCTCCACGTAGGCCTCACTGGAGCGGAACGGCCGCACGCTCTTGGCCGCCGAGCCCGCGATGCCCGCCACGGGGTCCGCCATGCCCGGGGCCAGCCGAGTCACTGTGGGCAAGGACACAGGTCAGGGGTGCCGTGAGGACCCGGCAAAGAGTCCAGGCCACTGGGACCTGCCTGTCACTCAGGCCAAATGCCTGGTTAAGTGCAGTCTGAGACGTCTCTAGGCCTCCGTTTCCTCACCTGTGGATCGTACAGCACCATTACCTGCCTCAAAGGACGCGGCGGGCATAAGTGTGTATACGTGGCTTTGTGCACTTGCTATTTGCCTCTTTCCTGGGGTGGGGCTGGGGGCCGGCTGAAGCCTCCCTTTCAGGCAGGCTGGGGACCATGGGATGGGACTTCGACACAAGCCGAAGACCAAGGCGCCAACCTCTTGGTAGAGCGTATGTGGGCTCAGCTATTTGGTGAGCTCTAATTTCTACTTCACTGATGATGAAATAAAAAGTGTTGTTTACAATAATAGAAAAAAAAAAAAAAAGACCTCGGCCCCAG